AAGCGAAATAATGTGACATTCACATGTGTTAAGGACCTTTTTCTCGAAACGTTCAATCCGCCGTCACGTCAATCTCACAGCATTCCATAATAGTGTAGGGATACGAGTTTCAGTAATAATATCGGCCCTGCGTTTGACAGCTCGCAATTCCATAAGAGTTTCGATGCGAAGTTCAGGACGAAATGAACGCATCTTACTTCACACTTTACTCTCATTGGCGTACGATATTTATGGCATTCAGAAACAATTTCCTACCAAAATACTGAACATACTTTGGAATTGGTGGACTTATACATCAATCATATCTTATCATATCATATATCCGGAAAACGAACTGAAAAGCCTCCTATAAGGCAAACCTAAAAACTTTTCCAGACTGAGTGGGATTCTACAATTGGTAGCAGGGTGTTCACTGGGAGCTACTATATCTACATGCAGAGGTCATTGTTCCACGGTTAGCCAGAGATCTAACAGAAATATCCTCTCGTGGAATAAAAATCTGGCACGGATGAGATAACGAACAATGAAATCAGATATACAGAACTGTTACGAAAGATGTTCAACTCCATACAAGGAAACTAATAACTCGGCAATGCGAGAAGCTTGAAAGAATTCAAACATGTGCTGGATCCTCTACTCTCGAAGTGACAACATGAAAGCAAATAACAGAAGGTACTTAAAAAAGCATATAATAGAATTACTCCGGTTACATTTCTCCAGGATAAAAAAAAAATACAGAACTGATGGTCCCCAAGAGGGTGGTCCAGGGATGGTCCAGGGAGGACCATTTAGTGACAAAGAAATTAGTGAATTTGAAAAACCGTGGACTCAATTTCAATTATGGCGGCTACCATGAATGATTATAGAGAGACGTTTGTCTGGTGAAACATTTCAAATTCAGTGATATATAGAATGACTTCTAGTTGAAATAATTTTGAGAATTGCAAAATATGCTATCTATGAATTATTCTAGAAATATCCCAACTTTCAGCCTACCAAGCAATGAATTCAACGGTGATACAACTTTTCAGTTACACGATCAAAACGATCAAGTCTAAATCTTCAAATCAGCAATTTTGTTGAAATATAAATTCAAACTAGAAATTTCGTTAAATTTCGATTTCAAATTTGGATTATTTTCGAATCGTATTGAAACTTTGTGGATTCTTAGATAACAATTCAAAAAACACTTACTCAGACATTAAAAAAATTTAAAAACTTTATCACATAACTGAGAAATGAAAGAGAAAAAGAAGAGATGAAGAGGATTTTAAAAACAGACCTCCCGACTCTTCACATAGTCATATCTGATTCTCAGCGAAATATAGATTTTTTTATTGAGATGCTAATATCTTGATCAGTTATTTTTGGATATTACTGGAGTCTTTTCTCAACACCAAATCATTATTTTTAACACTTCGACACGTGTTTTGATCATCAAGTGATCATCTTCAAGAGGAAGATTACAGTTTAATCTTCTTGAAGATGATTTTCTTGAAGATGATCACTTGGTGATCGAAACACGCGTCGATGTATTGAAAATAACGATTTGGTGTTGGAAAAAAACTCCAGTAATATTCATTACTACACCAAAGGTTCCAAACAGTGCAGTGCAAGTTATTTTTGGCTTTTTTTTTTTAAAAAAATTGATATGAATGAAGATCCCAACTTCTGAACTACAGTACTCTGAAGATTCAAGAATAAAAAATTATGATTATATTTGTATGGTCGTATACATTTTTGTGGAACCTAATATGATTTTTTTTCCTACTTCTAATAGCAATTACTGTTGAACAAAATAATTTTGAATAAAATAAAGAGAAAATTCATACACAATTGCTTTTTTTTTATGTAAAAATAATTTTTTTCTGCGTAAATCTTGTCTGTCAATTTTTTTATTCGACGAACGGTGTTTGCAAACAAAATGAAATAAAATCACATTTATGGTGAAAATTCAGAAACACAGAAACTTTTCCAAGTAAAATAAAAAAGAAATTGAGATTGATGCCAATACAAAGTCACCATGAACGGAAAATGATATCAATGAAACCCAAAAATATCAGCACATTTTCATGCAATAATTTCAGTGGAATACTCATTCGACCCAGAACTCTTCCCTTCATGATAAAAATCAAGTTCACCGACCTCGCATCTCAGCAATCAAACCCCCATTCATCTAAATCGTAATTCTGACGATTCATTTCAGTTATAACAATTAATTTCTGATTTTTATCAACGAACGTTCACCAAATCGGTCTCACAACGGCATGGCGAGGGATTTTTGCATAATAAAAGAGTTTCGGAGGAGCGTGTAGACAGCTCAAAGGGTGAGAACTGCTTTTCTGGTCCTTAATCACTCAATAGCTCGCGATAATACGTGTGTACCAGAAGTGGGCTACATCTGTAGGACACAACTGTTGTAAGTCTCTGCCGGGTATTGACTCATATTTGCGGCGGAGGGGACCTTTTACAGTAGTCGAGATTAAGTAGTCCTGCTCATTGAGGATTAACAATGTTTGCGATCGTTCATATTGGTTTTATTGCTTATTGCGATAGAAGGGTAGATCCATATCACTCTCGAGGATTCAAATATTGAACTAGAAGTGGAGAACGAAGTTTCCTTAAAGAGTCATATCCAAAAATATAACCCTCTTTTCTTGGGTCAGGAAAAGCCAGACCTCCAGGATTTTTACAGATATTTTCTGGAAGGTTTGTACGAGAAAGTAAATATAAACCTAAACAAGAAAATATGTGAAAAACTGAGTGACATTGAAAAGACATAAGACTTCTGGTCGAGATACTCGAAGATGAACAATGTCGACATTTTCGTCGGCCAGTCAAAATCTACGTTGACATTCATCATGTTTTGAATGCAAAAATAAAAGAAATTGCATAAGCTTTTTGATAATCCATGAGTTTTTCTTGCTTTCAGAGATATATTCAATGAAATTTTCTCCAAGAGAAAGTTTTGGAGAAAAGCAGAACGTTACCATCAACTTTCCTCTTGAAAATTTGGACATGAGCGATTATGAAGCAATGTAGCAACTCATCGTGATCACCTTTAGACAGAATTGTGTCACAGTGGAACTACTTGAAGTGAGCATACTGCAGACACCTGTAACGAAATACATGGTACGAATACAGTGACTCACGTATGTCACCAATTTTGCAAAAATCCATATTTAGTGGAAAATTGTATATTCTCTTTGATGTACTTTTGAGTACATGGTGCGAGAAATGTAAGGACTTTTTTGGTCTTTATAAGTTTATGTTTTTGTCTTCTTCTCTTTAGAGTTAACGATTATCCTATCAAAGCATCATCCTCATTGAAATATGACATTCATGTGGAGGTATGACATTTGTCAAACAAAAAAAAATGCTCAACATGTTTCAATGTTTTAATTAGTTTATATCTTCAATTCGCTGTTTTATAGTCTGTTTTACTGCAAACATAATTTTGTACTGTTATTGAAAGGAAAAAATCCGCAATTTAATGAATTATAGGCCCTGAAAAAACTCTCCATTGGAAGCGAAAGCTTTTGACTGAGAAGCCCATTCAATCCATTTTCTTATACATTTCTCCAGTCAATTAGTATTTTATAAACCTCCAAACGAGTATACAGTCGTAAATTATTGACGAAAAATAAGGAGTTCCTCAAATTTTTTTTAGTTCTATGTGAGTACTGATTAATAAAATATATAACCTTCAATTATATCCCAATCTATATTAATTCATCCCATCTGATATGGTCATTTCCGTTTCATACAAATTTTTAACAATGTATTCTATCGTAACTTGGATACTGTACTTCTTCGTATCATTATAGCCGCTCCATTCAGTTTCGAGTTCGAATACTGGCCCCGTGCGGCTCTACTGAAGCGTTACCGATGAGAGTCGACAAATAGCAGAAGAAGCAGATAATATCATTCGACAGTGTTGTTTTGCACTCCACAGGTTTTCCGCAAGCAGAATAAAACAAAAACCTTTGTAGTCTGTTTGAAATCTGTTTTCAATTAACCAACTGTCACTCTCCTACGAACGACAACTCTCAAAAGTCGAAACTTGTGCGGGCTAAGGATTATCGAGGTCTAATCTTCTAACGTGCGATATCTAGCATGGGATGACTATAGGCAGTGATTATCGATATTCCTGCCTCGCGGCTTAAGCCACTGTTTCACCTGAACGAACCACTCACGCCAACCAAACCACCATAGAATATTTTTCAACTGTTCTAAAGATTATTGCCGAATTATTTAGATTCTAGCCCATCAGAAAGATGTTCATATCTTTGATTGTCATATATTATCATTTTGAATAAAATCATTATATTTTTGTGTTTCCATATTACCTACGGGTGGATGAAATTTAATGTTTCACCTTTTCACTAGTGAAAACTCTATTCAGAAAATAAAAAACAGTAATAGGTACCACTACGCTCAGAACATAATTTCCGACATTTATGTTCACTCAGCGGAAAACTTACTGATAAAATGTTAGATTGGAGTGTCACATAGAAAATAGATATGTTTCCAGCGTCTGACAGATGTAAGACTATGAACAAAAACCTCGAGTGGCTGCGAAAGAAAAGTCATATAATGAGAAAGGGGTTAAAATAACCGGAAAGATCAACGGTACAGAAACGATTTCATGGAGAAAATTGTTATTTATATGGGATATTGAGGTCAGCGTTCTCCGAATCTGCAGCTGCTAACATTTCAGAGAGCCAATCAGAACAATAAATCAAAAAAGTAATAACGCAAAGTTCAATCCAAGAAGACATTATTGCAGATAATATCGATTATTTCTGTTGAAATTTGATGCGGAACACCACAAAACACAATATGGGAACCTTTCTTTCTTCAACTTTATTCTTGTTAAATATCCATGAAATGATCAAATTCATCACACCACATATCAGTTGAATAACCCTTTGACACACTCACCTGAATCAGTAGTCACTGTTGAAGGTAAACATCAACCAATACAATGAAAATTAATCCAATAAGCTACTAGAATTTAATCAATTCGAATCCACTACAGCATCAAAATGGGTCACTATTAGCCAATTCAACAGTGAACATAACCTCTACCATCATTGACAAACCATCTCATCTTCTGCCTCTTCTTCAGACTAGATGCCCACCTTTCTCGAGTCTCTTTTGGAGCGTATCTCAGCTTTTTTTTAAGGATGCTCTCTCTGATTTTCAAGTTGTGTGTCGTATATGCTTTGTAAACGCTGTTGATGTGATATGGATGTATCTGAAAAAATATTTCAAGAATGAGAAGCGAGTGAAAAGCTATAGAATTCCTAATCTACGTACACAACGCACCGACCATTCAAAAAATCCTCCAGTTTGCAGATGACACAATCTTACCTTCTCCCCCCTAATACACGAACACACGAACCCTACAAGCTCAATCCCAAACAATGATAAACCACTTTGAGCACTGGTGCAACAAGTGGGGCATCAAAATGAACCTTACCAAACCCCAAACTATACTATTCAGGCACCCGAATACCACAACACGCACCAAACTAACAACTTGAACCTCAAACTTTTGCGAGATAACCTCTCACTTCAAGACTCGATAACCTGCTTGGAGGTTACTTTTACGAGGTTTTGCAACTAGGAAACCGACCGAACTCTGGACAGAGTCCGAAAAAGAGCTAATCTCCTAAAAGCGGTGAGAAGTTAGCTCGAGAGATTCGACAGTAAGGCCTTATTACACACGGTCGGTAGCCAGGGCGGTTCGACGTGGGTGCTTTGTTCACTCACTCGAATTGACTGCCGTGTTGGTCGGTGGTTCGAGCCCCAGTCTGAACGATCGATTTTCACTTGCTATCATCCAACCCGTGTTAGGAATCACACGTTAGAAGGTAAGACTTTGTTAATCATTAGCTCGCACAAGTTTCGACTTCTGAGGGTCGTCGTTCGTAGGGGTGCGACAGCTGGTTAACGTAGAAACAGATTTTAAACAGATTATACACGTGAGAAATGTTCATAAGACCGATCCTAGATTATGAAGCCACAATCTACTGCACGCTCTCCCTGATTCGATCCCACCACATCCTAACAACCGAGAAGGAAATCCTACGCAACATCCACACTTTTCCGATAGTCCTCCCAAGATTTGTATAACACGGTAAAAATTACCCTAATCAACCTAAGATTTCAGGAACTCTGAAACCAATACGCCTCAAGGACAATGAGCAGCACCAACACCGCCGCCATCAACACACTGGCCTTCCCCTATACACCTCGTGGGGGCTCCAGAAGGACTCCTAGGATGATGCTCCCGTTTCCCCAAGCCAGACTCCTGAGAGTCTTGAAGACCCGACGGAGCAGATTTAGGACCTCTTCGAAGATTACCCACTGGTTTATTTGTTTTATTAGCTTATATGTGTAAATTAGCTTTAAAGGTTACTGTGTCTGAACTGCCATACGATAAATAAATAACCTACTGATCTGTTGATCAGATAGTGGACAGCACACAGCCTGGAATACACTGAAGCCTTACCCCTTCCACCCCAGGACTACTCGAACCTGAACCCGCAAAAATGACCACCGGATCCAGACCCGAATCATTAAAACCGACTCATATTAAGATAAATAAACAAAATTGAGATACTTATGATGCACTGTTTGGAACCTTTGGTGTAGTAATGAATATTACTGGAGTTTTTTCCAACACCAAATCGTTATTTTCAACACCTCGACACGTGTTTCGATCCCCATAGGATAAATAGGGTTAGCTTGCATTACTTTCTAGTTTTAATCTTCCTCTTTGAAGATGATCACTTGGTGATGGAAACACGTGTCGAGGTGTTAAAAATAACGATTTGGTGTTGGGAAAAAACTCCAGTAATATAAATTGAGATACTCGTAGGGGAACTAGAGTCTAGTTACTATACTAACACACATAAACTAGATTAAGATAGATAATAATTAAACATGAGCCTGAAGATGCATGAGCCTATGGCAAGGCCCCCCACAATCAATGTTACTGAAAACTCATGTATACTAACTGTTAATGAACGTCTTGAACTTGAAAACCGTTCGATAATTTTCAGCATTTGGCTCAAATCATACATTTTCATGAAGTATCAAATGGCCCCTGCTAAATTTATGTGAGAGATTCATACGTATTTAGAGGGAACAAATAGAAAACATCAATTGTTACTAATCGAAACTAACGTCTCATGACTTAAAACTGGGTAAGCTTGTAAGCTTATTGAATTCGACAAATTACTGGAATTTTACCCTTCTGAAGTTGTATAATTTCCTTATTTTTCAGATTACGAAAAGTGCATAGCATCTGAAACCTTCCGGGAAAACCTCAAAACAACCATATCGGAGATAAGATCCGGCATGAAATAAATATGAGCCACAACCAGAGACGCAGGGACTGTCGATCCCGACACATTTTCCCTTTTAAAACCGTTCACGGAAACATCGCAACAAATGGTATATAGCGCCTTCATGCAGTTTTCCATCACACTGAAAGGAAAAGGACTGCTTAAATGTTGATGAGGCGCGGCGGATGTTGTGAGACCGGTCTTAGGCCGAATTAAACCGATGAATAAATGATGAGTCGAGTTTTCGAGGTATTACGGATAATATCCTTTTTTTATAAGGATTCGGTTCTACTCGGAGGTTATTTCAATTTTTAAGGAGGAAACATACCGTTCGGAATTGGGTCGGTTAACATTCATGAAAGAGGCGAGGAAGGATTGGAAAGAAGATTCCGCAAAATTTAGACAGAAATTGTGCCAAAAAAATGGACTATAAACATTGAAGGAAGGTTAGCATTTGATTTAAAAAAATCACGGACGGTTTTGGAGAACTATAGGAAGAAAATTGTTTTATTATAGCTCAAAGGGATTCGCATTTTGGATGAAAACTCGTACGGGTAGCACCACCTCCACGACTTCTCTTGGATAACATCGTCATATTTCAACCAATTCTCACAAAACATTAATAAATTATGCACATAAACCTTTCTCTCAAATCACTTTGTGAAAACCGTTTGAAAATCTGTTTTGTAGTTTTTGAATTCATCGCATTTAGACGGACAGACAAAAATGACGGGAAACTATTTACAATGAACGAAAATGATTTTTCGTGGAGAAAATGAGAGTTTTTATGTTTGTTTGAAAATATGTTGCAGCCGAATGAAACATTACAAAACGCATTAGATTTTTCCAATTCCTAATCCAAGACGAGGGTATATTCCAGTTTCCGAAACGTTAAAATACAACGAAGTTATCGATGAATAGAAAATTTTTCTTTGTGAAAACTACTTCCAATTCAAGGAATAACTCAACAGGTTGAACTGAAAAGTTTGCCTACAACTGTATGAAGATACTTCTCCATTACAATTTTTATATTTCTTAGAATATGGAATATAAGCGAACCCAACAAAAAGGTCGATGTGCATGTGCATCAGAAGCATGTGTGTTCAGTTTATACAGTGTGACCCATTTTTAATGGAAACACCCCCTAAAATTTGAAGTTGTAAATCGATTTTAATAATTTTTTTTAAATGTCAAGTACTAAAACGTCTACCTTGGGACAAAATTTAAAATGTTTATTAAAGTTTCAGGGCATACTACGATATTTTTTCTTAGTCGAAAATCGGGATTTTTTATTAGCGATTTTTTTTTTGGAAAAATCGCTACTCCACTGGATTCAGAGTGCCTCTAAATAGGTGTGACCAAAATTTCATGAAAAAAGATTCATTATCAACAAAGTAATGACAACTCAAAAATTCGAAAACTCACACAGCTAACAGTCACAATATATCATTTTTTTTTATGATTTCAACAATAAAGTGCCGCCTGATGAAAAAAAAACAAATAGCGTAGATATGTTTAATGAAAATAACGGAATTACATTCACACAATTCAAATAATAATGAAGCAAAAATTTTAATAAACGTAACTAATAACTAATTATTGAAATGTTTCGATTCAGTGCAACAATTAATTCTAACTCATATTCTAGTAGCCTCTACTAATCCACCACGTATTTCGATACATGTGTCGTAGCGCTTACGAATGTTTCTGATTACGTTCCTTAGTTCTTGAGGGCTAATATCTGCACATACCTGTCGAATGCTTGCACAAAGTTCATTTCTATCTCTTGAGCGGTTTTTGTAAACCTTTTGTGTGAGAAGTCCCCAGAGAAAAAAGTCCAAAACTGTGAGGTCTGGAGATCTGGGTGGCCACTCTATAAACGGACTACCACGGCCTATCCATCGGTTTGGAAAATGTTCGTTAAACCATTGCTTCACAGCTCTAGCATAATGAACTGAACACCCATCTAACTGGACAATTAAATTTGATCGTTCATTGATTGGCAGCTCGTGAATAGCATCCCAAAACTATGTGTTTAAAAATTCTAGAAACTTCTGCGCATTAATGTTTTCCTCAAAAAAGAAAGGACCAATAATTCGTTCGTTCAATATCCCAGACGTTGATTTTTTAGGAATACTTGCTTTTACAGTTAGGATTATTATCCGCTGCCCAATAGCGACAATTCTGTGATGACACTACTCCATTTGTAGTGAAAGTGGCTTCGTCGGTATAAAAAATCCCGATTTTCGACTAGGAAAAAATATCGTAGTATGCCCTGAAACTTCAATAAACATTTCAAATTTTGTCCCAAGATAGACCTTTTAGTACTTGACATTTCAAAAATAAAATTATTAAAATCGGTTTACAACTTCAAATTTTAGGGGGGTGTTTCCATTAAAAATGGGTCACACTGTAGGTGGTGGGACACCGAAACCGTCGAATATTTCAAAAACACATATTTTCTGAAAAAATCGCGAAAAGACATCGATTTGTAATCCAAGGGGGACGTCTTTCTATCATAACCTCAACTGTCATATATCTCCCCCCACTTTTTGGTTACTGTCACCCAAGTAGTAGGAAAGTAGTAAGTGTGACACATTATTAAAAAAGCATTAAATGAAATAACAGTGAAATCAAATACAAGTGAAAATGGAACAAATTGAACAAAAAATAAAAATAATATTAAAAAGTTAAGAGATTCCATGCCAAGTTACTTCACGACGTTTCGATTGTTGAAATCTACAATCGTCTTTGAGTGATGACTGGACTGATTCCTCCGTGAGGAACTTTCACCTATCTCTGCTTTCCTTTTTACCGCTTCACTGGTATAGTGGGAGACGACGGTTTAGCGGGAGTTGGCCATTTTGATTCGAATTGGACCATAATTACAAATTTCGTCCGC